GTAGTAATGGCTTCCAACCTAATTGTGATGGCCTCCAATTAGTAGCTTCTTGCTACTAGTAGTAATGGCCTCCAACCTAATTGCGATGGCCTCCAATTAGTAGCTTCTTGCTACTAGTAGTAATGGCCTCCAACTAGTTTCCGATGCCAGGAGTCCAATTCTTTCGAAGGGATCGCAGACAGAATGAGCTGTTCTTTCCCGACATCCTGTGCACGTCTCACGCCGGCAACTCTAGAGACGACGCATCGGCTACGGACAGCACGATGCGCGATCCGAGAAATGAGAGGAAATCAAAGCATTCCCCAACAGGTCGTTCGTTCAATGGGTATCCACCAGCAGTATCCAGGAGTTGCATACAAAAGAGGTGATGCAACCATGTGGGTTTGTATTAAAATAGGGAGACCTCCCATTTCGACCCTGTGGGAGCAGGGATTCCAACAACCACGGAAACGCCATGGCAGGGACTTGACGGGTACACGCCCGGCCCTGGTGAAACGCGAAACGCCATGCGGCAACGCGCTGCCTCCAGGTGGAACTTCTGCTGACTGAGGTATCCTTGGTTTTGAGGACTCAGTGACCGCAGTGTCACCGCGAAAAAACTCCAGTCATCCATATTCTACTGGAGCATTTTCTGGTTAAAGTATCTGGCCTCAATCTCGACAAGGTCTTTTCATTCCAAAAGGTACGAGAACGTGTGCTTCCGGCTGCTCGCAGCATTGCAATGGATGAATTCGGCCAATCTGCCAAAAACACAACACAAATTCATGCAAACTGTCGGTCTTGTGTCACTTCAAAGCTCTACTGGGCAAAGGTTTGTCGGACTTCAATAGCCAAGGCAAACGTGTTAAAACTCTCTATGGGCGGAACATACAGGCCACCTGGAAGGCAGAGTTCTTTTGGAGTGAAAGATACTCACGGTTAGAATTCACTTCTGTGTCCTCCTGCATCTGTACCCTGACCAACAAATGGGAGAACATTAAACCTCTACAGTACAAGACTAAGAGCCTAAGAGCCATGGCAGGACCAGTTCAAGGCTTAAACTTGGAATCCAATAAGGCAGACACGGTGTAGCAACCAATATTTACAACCAGGCTGCAGTCATGAAGACCGACCCCCTTTCTAGAGCCAAAGGACGTCTTCTTCTCCAGCCTCTTAGGCAATTTCACGTGAAGTTGGTGCACGCCGCACCAAACAGTTTGGCATTGTCTCTTTGGGAAATAATCCTGCATGGCCAAGCATCCCTTGCTGCTCCGAACATGGTGTAGTTGGTCCTGCAAACCCAGCCATGGCTGTAGAAACACCCGTGATGCGACCTGAAAACGAAGGAAGCGAAGCTGCGCCCAGAGGGGCCCGCGCTCCTCTGTGAGGGGACCTTTGTAGAGCTGCAACTTGATCTTCTGAACCTCATCCTTCATCCTGAAGAGACATGACATGAAAAGCAAGCACTGATTCTAAGAAGAGGAAGAAAGATGATTGTGATCTGATCTAAGCAAAAGAGATTACGTATTTAAAAAAAAGTTGCATCTGTGTCGGCGATGAAAGGGAAAGTGCTGGATTGCAGCCATTCAGCAGGGATTCCAACTTCAGAAGATTTAATTGGAAAAAGGCTGAAACTTCAGTACCGATTGTTTTTGCTCACTAAACAGTATCAGCCGACTCTGTCAGTTGGTGCGATTTTTCGTGCGCGAACCCGAATGCCACTAAGTCTCCAGGAGTCGTCAAAGACCATTTTGGTAAGTCCTGGAATGGAGCGGTCAAAACTGAAACACAGGTGAACGGGAGTGCACTGAAGAAAATATGATGTATGCAAATGTATGCAAGATTGGCATTTGTTGGTACGAGACATGTCCTATCATATAGGTACAAGTACGCACATGATTCATTGGCCAATTCTATGGAAGAGTCTGACCTGTGGCTTTCTCCAAACGAGTCTCTCATCCACATCCTTTGGCTTGGACAGTCGTTTCTCAAAGTCGTCCCCCCAAAAAAACGTTGGGAAATGCTCATTCCATTCGCCTCAAACACAGGCTTCCCCCCAAAAAAACAAATTCCAATCTCACAGATCTTAATCAAATGAATTTGAGCGCCTTTTGTCCTCAAAAAAAACCAAGAACACCCATGTTCCACCCGCTTTCGAAGCACTGCGCGAAGCGGCCCATCACTGGGCAGCGGCTTACGCCGAGTTGCTGAGTTCCAAAAGGCATCCGCAAAACATCTGCTGGCCGTGCCCATCCAAGAGGCCGTCCATGCAGGTCCTGAAAGAGGTCGACGAAGACCACCGGTCCGGTGAAAAGCACGGCCCCTCTCGGGACGCTACGAACGGGGCTCGCATCGCTACGAACAGAGCGATCGGACGCTACTAGGGAAAAGCACTTCTTTAGGGCCTATGAGGGGGTACAGAAATATCTTTCTTGGCCCACCACTCCCCCTGAAAAAATGGACATGAGGATAATCGAATATCCTCAATAAAGCAAAAAATAGAACTGCTCTCACCATTGAACTCACAAAAAGGAACAAAAAGGACTGCAGTGATGGCACGCTCTCCGTGGGATGCCTGGCATTCTGAGCAAAAGACCATTCAGCTGCATAAGCATCCAAAACATGCCTGTATGAACAGGGTTTTAAAAAGAAACACTTGTCCAATACACCGGCGCCGCTCTGGCGTGCTCACCAGGATCGTCATCAACTCCAAGGCACTGCTTCCGGTTACCCATGGTGATGCACTCGTTCCTGCAGGAGTACCTCGGTCCGGTCGGCTCGTCTTGAAACAGATCCGACTGAAGGTAGAGGTCTAAAGTGAGGCAATACGAGCCAATCTGCAAGAGGATACCAGGATGGGCGACTCAAACACCAGTTTAGCTGACTTGGGTGAAGGACTTCTGGAGCGTGACTTCCGATGGTGTTGGTTTGAATGACTAAGTAGATCTAAGTAGTGAATACTTCGTAGAGCTATCCCCACTTCCTCCATCTTCCTCTCATTGCTGCTTGGCTACTTGAAGAAGCCGCCCTCCGCCACCTTCATAGGCTGCCATGCAAGCCTGAGTGATGTCAAAACCAAACCGAGCTTTCTTGGTTCTAATAGCTTCTTGTTACTACTAGTAAGGCACCTGTTACTACTAGCGTGGCACTTGTTACTAGTAGCGTCCTTGTTACTACTAGTAAGGCACTTGTTACTAGTAGCGATGCACTTGTTACTACTGTAGGCTGGATCCTTGGAGTTTCACATGTTTTTACCTTTATCGGCCGCGGTAGTGCGGTAGTAGTAGCTAGGGAGCCGCTAGTAACTTTAAATAGCTACTACCGACACGACGCAGGATAGCTCGCGCTTCTTCAAGGAAACTCCCCAGGGTGGCAGGGTTTATTTGTATTTTTTTAGCCTGGGGGCGGGGGAGTAGGCAGCGATAGTAGTAGCTAGAGGTATCTAGGAGTTTTAATAACTACTACTTAGCATGCAGGATAGCTCGCGCTAATGATTTGGTTTCTAGAATTTTAGGGAACATGGCAAGGACAGTGGGGAGTTGGTCTGTAGACTTCTCCCCTTCACATTGGATTTGCCCCGGGGGAACCAGGGCCGCGAATGGCAGCGTGAAAAGGACTCCTTCTTCCTTTTGTGTGGGGCTTACATGGTATGTGGCTGATCTAGACCACGACCCACTGTCAGGATCTGTCAGGGTGGTCCATGTGGGGGTGGACAGTATTGCATACCACTCACAGGTCCTTGAAGGTCTTCCGTGGACAAAAGAATCGAGAGCTTCATTCATTCTCATTAATGCAAGTGCTTCGGGTGAACGACTTGGCAGGGATTCATTGAGATGTGCTCTGAAAGTAGTGCGGGCTTGTAAGTATGAAAGCACATTTGTTTGGGTCCATTTAACAAAGCATGCTTTGCGTCACCGTGTGGAGACAAACCCATGGTTTCTTATCTGCACATCTGTGGAACCTTCCGCTTGTCCAAGTCTTTTCCCGTCTCTTTTTACGCAGAATTAGAACTGTTACAATATCCAACAGCATTCCGTTACACTGCGTGATTGACAAAACTCTCAAACTGCCTTCCTGAAATCTAAGGACCCTTTTCAACCGCTTTTGGCCAAACATGTGGCTTCCCGAGCCGAGTCAAACATGCAGCCAAAAAAGGCTAGCGCAGTGCGTGCCACATGGCATGTTTCAGGAACCATACCGCCAAGATACTTTGAATTCACCTCGGTAGCATACTCCGACAGGATCTCGTTCGCAGCAGCCCGCCGTTCTTCCAGCAAAAAGTAAGCTTTGTCGAAATTGTTTTTGCAAGTGGGCGCCTTGGTTTCGAGCACGACACCGTCACTCTGCCACTGTACCATTGAGAAACGGAAGGAAGATGTTTTGGCATGGAAGTCTCCGCGATTCGTCTGAAACATATACAGTACCTGCGGAAACAATTCATTTGATGGTGCCACCGTCTACTTCACTGCAAAAAGCGATGCAGAACAGCCGTTGGCATCACTGCCGGGATGTGCTTTTCTTTTTCCGGCTGTTGGACCATTGGGAGGTGGGGTGGACGGCGGGGACAGACTGACAGTGTTCACTCCAAACGTGTGACGCGTGGCGCACAGAACGTGGTACCCAGGACGTGGCGGTCAAATGGTCACTCTTCGTGCTCGTGGCAGGTGCAGTTCAGAACGTGCCCGTCGGAGGGCAGCTGCTTGGATTGCAAGATACGTGGCAGGTGCAGGGAATCGTGAGTGGAATGCATTGCGTGATGTTCAAGTTGCATTTCCAGGTCAGTGTGAGGTGCGCCGGATTGTGGACTGCCTGAGGGTGTCCCACAAAGTGTCACACTACAGTCATACAAGACTATCACCACCAGCTGGCCACCATTCAATAGGGCTTGTGTATGTTGATATTTGAAGGTCGGCATCATTGATCATTACAGTAGTTCGGCCAGGCCTGCGGTCTTTCTTGGGATGTGCATTCCTTCCTCACAAGCTCATCCTGCACCTTGGTTTACTAATTGTAATTGTAATTTTTTGCATTTCTTCCCTAGCTCGTTTATATAACCTAGTCTTAGATATTACCATTCTTAAGAATGGAGGTTGATTGAGCCCCTATGCTGGCTGAGCTTAGAACAACTTTCTGATCATTATTTAGCTGTTGCTCTCCTGATACAACTATTTTACAACACCATCTAATGTGCTTATTTTCGTCCTATCTCAACAAACTGTTCCTACTCGCAGAGGCTTTCTTCTGCTCCAGTAGGTTGCAACATTTACATTCACATTTACATTTCTTAAGTTGCGATCCACAAAGGAGGAACCTTTCATTCAGAATAGAACGCTTTGGACATGAAGCTTACTTTGGACCTGAAGGTGAGTGCAATTGGTAGTGTCTACAGCTGGTGACAGACATCTGGTGCTTTTGCCGCCAATTTGGTGACTGCATCCTAAGCTCCTCTATGCCAAGTGTAGTACAAGTCTTGGAAAATCCTCCACTCTCCACTGTCCACGTCCGCCTTGACTCTAAACACGAACGGTGTCTCTCCATGTCTCTCCTCTTCGAGCCACACAGATTGGAGGTTTGCCAATCGGGCGGAACAGTCCATCACTCCCACACCGCATGCGGCTTTCCTCGGTTCGAAGGTGACACGTTTTCCTTTGTTCGTTACAGTCAACAGGGAGCGCAACAGGTTAGCAGTCTTGTCTCCCAAGTAGAAGGAAATGAAAAACAGGTAGGATGTAAAAGAAAAATATCTTGTCATTAAGAAGCATAACTCGGAAACGTGAGCCCATAAGAAGGGCGTCTCAGGAACAATAACACACACATATAACATATTGTATAACTATATAATGATATATATATATATTGATATATTCTACTGTACTAGCTTGGCAGCTATATAACGGACATCGGCACCTCTTGAGGACGAATGCCAGGAATGCCCAAGAACCATTCTACCATCTTTTCCAAGAATGAGCTCACCCATCTTGGTCGACCTGGGATCACTCTTATTCTTTCTTTACCAAGTTAAATTGAAACATTTCGAATAATTCAGACTCCATGCGCGTAGCCTGAGCGTAGCCTGCTCCGCTGAAGGCCAAGATGCTCCCAAGCTCAAGGGCATTTGACCGCCGTTTCGTGGGCGACATTTGGCCCTGACCTCGTCACCCTCCAAGACCAGCCCCTCGGGAGGGCCTCGCCAGCTGGAGCAGAAACATCTGCACAGCATTTCGTTCAATTCTTTTGCGACAGGTTGATGCAAGGTCTTGCAACCCCAAGCAGGAGAGTGTGCAAAATCAAACTGCTGAGAGGCTGACTGAATGGGGATGAGGGTATGGAGCTCGGAGCTTGGTATGGTGCCTCGCAGACCTCATCCGCAGGCTTTCGGTTTGGGCGCAGCACGAAACGCACCGAAGGCTCTCGTCGTTGCGGAAACTGTAGATCTTAATTTCGACTAAATAAGTCACAGGTTCTGAGAGGGACCTCCACCAAGAGGATAGTGATCACCGCTTAGTGAACCACCAAGAGGACAGCGAACTAGGATACACTTGGACGAATTGTTCGCAAGTGTTAGGAACTTCCCATGGACTCCTTCACCAACTTCTGGCACTCCAACCAATGGTCACATCAAAGGATTCTCAGATCCTCTTTCCAAAGGCTTGAACATCAAAGGATACTGGCTATTTGCACTTCGATCCAAGTGTTTTTTCGCCCTTTTCACACCCATGAAGAGGCCGAGCATGGCGGCGTTGTGGGGAGTCATATTTCACTAAATAGCATGATAACATGTTGTTCAATTCGCGGTGCAAAAGTCCAAACACACGACGAAACACACTCGTCCCCTAAAATGGCCCGCCATCAAAGGTGTGTCCAAAACAAAAACCCTTGGACAACGTGAGAATACCCTTCTTACTTTTAGCACAGCACAGCATCTTCGTAGTCACAACGAAGCTCACTCAAGTACATCCCACACACCCCAACAGGCATGACAATCAATGTCCATATCTCCCAGATGCAAGCTGCATCCCACCCCTCTTATATAATGAAAGTACAATATCTTGTTCAAAATGCATGAAGAATGTACACGTGCATGTTCTTTCCACAGGCCAAACGGGACTATTGCAACACGCACGCAATAGGCAAAAATACATCTATCGACATGTCTCCAAAACAAGGATGCCCTGAATAAGAGGCGGATATGTATATATATATATATGGTACCCCCCAAGACCTACCTTTTGCATGTTCAGTGGTATTTACAGTGAAGTCATTTTTTTGAGGTGATTATTTTAGAGGGATTGCGGGGGCGCCATGTGTGGATGGATGGATGGATGGATGGATGGATGGATGGATGGATGGATGGATGCATGGATGCATGGATGCATGGATGCATGGATGCATGGATGCATGGATGCATGGATGCATGGATGCATGGATGCATGGATGCATGGATGCATGGATGCATTGCATACACACATGTCGAAACCCAAAAGGTGTGCAAGCAGATCCCCAATTTTTGAAAAAATGCAAATTGTGCAATTGTTTATGGATTCAAGATTCAAGATTCTGGGGAAAAGTTCTTGAATCCAAGCCCTCGAATGATGAGGTCCTGGATGTCAGTCGGGCTTGGATTTAAGAACTTGTCCCCAGAATCTTGAATCTTGAATCCAGAAAACGTTGCAACATCTGCAAAGTTTGTAAATTTTGGGGGCTCAAGATTCAAGATTCTGGGGAGAAGCCCTCGAATGTTGAGGTTCTGGATGTCAGTCAGGGCTTGGATTCAAAAACTTCTCCCCAGAATCTTGAATCTTGAATTCAGAACAAGGAGAAAGGCTACAGGTATGCGGGGTGGCTGTGGACAGCAATCTAGGGATTTAAGTACAGTAAAGTGTCTTGTTTAATACAGTGATGATACTGAAGATGAACTTAATCAACAATGTATCACAAGCTATTTTAATAGGCGGGTTGAACAATATAAAAGATATGGAAAGTATAACCGTGCCAAACCATGCAAAATAATGGTAGCAGCTCTTAATGTAGAAAACTATTCAATTTCAGGAGGTCAAGGGTTTGAACAAAGATTACATATTGAAAAATCATAGTTGCTTCGTGCTTAACTTGTCATTCTGCCCAAGGTAGTAGTATAGACGGTGATCTAGACGGTGATCTTAGTATTTTTGATTGCTACCACTTTGTGATAAGGAATTATAGGGAGCGGCTTCGGACGGCAATCACACGAGTTAGGGATTTGAGCAAAGTACTGTAAAGTATGTTTAAATATAGTGATGATACCCAAAATTAATTCAATAAACAGTGTATCACAAACTATTTAAATAGGCGGGTTGAACAATATAAAATACAGGACAGAAAGGGTAAAACAGAAATACCTAAAGAAGGTTATCTGAATGTCCAATGGTTTATGGGAAATATAACCAAACAATGTAATGACTGTGGATGTGGATATTAAAACAATATTTAAAAATGGTAGTTTATCAATTGCAGCTTACTGTCATAGACGTAATAGTATGATGAACTTTTACACACTATACATGTTTATTGTGTAAAATATATCAAACCCGTATTTAAAGAAATAGTGGGTATATATACTAGGTAATGGATACTACTAAACAGTATTGCAAAGTGCTGAAGGGTTTAAAACCTGCGACAGTTGTAGAGCCAAACAATCAAGAAGATCTTACAATAACTGGTCTTCACCCACAACTGTACACATCTTCACAATATGCCTGGCAAGCTCAAAAAGGTAGGTCTGGGGGCATGGCATACATGTATATATATATATATATACACAGGAATTTTGTGACTTCGTCCCTGTTCTTTGATGTAGATGAGGTGGTCCAAATGCGAACATAATGACATCTGCTCAAAAGGGGCACAAAAACATGTAACAACCCAAGACACTTATCTTGCGTTGAGTCCATGTTGGATCAATCCTGAAACCTTTTGTCAGCAAATAGTCCTTCTTTCCAAAGCGGCCTTGAACCCAGGGGAGTCAAGGATGCCTCTACCTTCGTACATTAAATGGAGCCATCATTCGTTCCATCACTTTCCAAGAGGTTCAGAACCTGTGCAACTCTGCAGAAAAAGACGGATTCAACCTGACATTTATGTGTGACATCGCAGTTTACAAATGTAGCTGCTTCTGTGGAGCACCGGATATGCAGATTGGCCAATCTGCAGTTAATTACAGTGGATCTTGACCTCCACACATCTGGGAACACTTCGATATGCCCAGCCGGCCTTCACACACTTCAAAGCGTCGAAGGTCAAGTGCCCGTCTCCTTGCACCTCCGTCTTCCTTGCCGAAAAGGCACAACGTTGGACCCTTCTTGGGTGGATGCAGCGGCTGCGTAACCCGAACAACGCACAGAATGTGGAATACATGCCCCTTTCTGGGTATGATCACGAGTTGTCAGAGTTTGTGAATTAATTATACCTAGAACGACCAGTACCCGCGGCAGGCAAGAAATTAGTCAAGCAACCGGCTTCTGAAGACATCTGAACACGATTTGGACCAGATTCCTTCTCATCAATGAACGTTGTCTTGTCAGAGTCTCGAAATTGCATACTTAGAACCAAGTCATGACAAATTCACCTGACAAACCGATCAAAAGCGTGGAATCATGATGAAGAAAAGGCGGATTGAGAAGGAGGCTCATCTTCATCTCATTGGATCTCCCATTTTAGGGGCTCCTGGCCCTACTACTAGGAGCAAGGACGCTACTAGGAGCAAAGGGCATCGCTACTAGGAGCAAGGACGCTACTAGGGGCTCCTGGCCTTACTACTAGGAG